AAGAAGCAGGCAGACCCCGTGGGAGAGGCGGAGCAGCTGCCCCGAGACCCCACCGGTGACTCTCCTGCCCGAGCACAACGACCCCACCTCTCCTGAACCAGTTTGCTTCTGTCCCCTTCTCTGAGGCACCAGGAAGCTCAGACGTCACACTCTTGTCATACAGCCCCTCTTTAATAGGAGGCAGCTGGTGATTTAAATGTCCAGTGCTGGGGCAAGAAGCCCAGGAGGGGGCTGGCAAGAGTGAGGCGGAGGAATACCAGGACAAGAGCATCGTGGAACCCAGAGGGACCAGCAAGATATCCTTCGGGGCAACCCCTGCCATAAGGCGGGAAATCTTCTAAACTCGTCAGGCCACAGCCCACAGCCCCCCACAAGGCTTGCAGGGACTTCTTCTCCCCAGGTCCTGCCCTCAGTCCCTGCATCTGGTTCCTGCTGTCTGCTCCCAGCCTCAGCCACTCACCAGAGGCAGCATCGGTAGAGACGTCTCCTGCTCCAGAGTCCAGCTGGCTGAGGCCCCACGGCTCCTCCCCGATATCTGGCTGTCCGGCTGCCCACGCCTCCACGCCTAGAGCCTGCTGCTCCTGGAGCTGGAGCTCACCTTCTTGCTTGATCTGCATTAAGAGGTCAGGGGCAGGAACGGGGGGCCCTGAGCCTGAGAAAAAGAGAGTGCGTGAGTGACAGCATCAGGGGCCCTGGGGCGGACACACATCCAGCCAAGGAAAGGCACACGGGGCCTTGCAAAGGTCAAACAGCAAAAGAGCCTGGTGGAGAGGGAAGGCAAGAGCTCGAACAGGGACTGCGGGGTCTTCCAGGCAAAGCATGTGGTCACGTGGTATTGAGCACGCGGGTCAGGCAGGGAAAAGTGAGGAATACAAAATGCATTCTTGGACTTCCCTGGTGGTGCAGTGGTTAAGAATCTGCCTGCCAATGCAGGGGACACGGGTTCGAGCCCTGGTCTGGGAAGATCCCACATGCTGCAGAGCAACTAAGCCTGTGTGCCACAACTACTGAGCCTGTGCTCTAGAGCCCATGCACCACAACTACTGAGCCCGTGCGCCACAACTACTGAGCCTGTGCTCTAGAGCCCATGCACCACAACTACTGAGCCCGTGCGCCACAACTACTGAGCCTGTGCTCTAGAGCCCGTGAGCCACAACTACTGAGCTCGTGTGCCACAACCACTGAAGCCCGTGCGCCTAGAGGCTGTGCTCTGCAGCAAGAGAAGCCACCACAATGAGAAGCCCGCGTACCGCAACTAGAGAAAGACCGCGCACAGCAACAAAAACCCAACCTAACCAAAAATAAATAAATAAATAAATAAATAAAACAAAAAAACGCATTCTCAGGGCTGGATCTCTGGTCCATGGGCAAGACTATGCTGGCCTAGGGAGGTCCTGCTCTCACTTTAAATGCAGAAATGCTAGATAAAATCTACCCCCGTCCCCAAAACCTTACCCCTACACATGTATTTATGTGAGCACAAAAGAAAGATTCCAGATGTAAGAATCAAAGAAAAGGGCTTCCCTGGTGGCGCAGTGGTTGAGAGTCCGCCTGCCAATGCAGGAGGCGCGGGTTTGTGCCCCGGTCCGGGAGGATCCCACATGCCGCAGAGCGGCTGGGCCCGTGGGCCATGGCCGCTGGACCTGTGCGTCTGGAGCCTGTGCTCCGCAACGGGAGAGGCCATGGCGGTGAGAGGCCCACGTACCGAAAAAATAATAATAATAATAAAAAAAAAAGAATCAAAGAAAAAACACAAAGTCAAATCAAGAGTTTGAGCAGGAGCCAAGCAGAGCTGTTGAAACAGGATGCAGGCCTTAGGGGCGGGGCTTTGATGTCCGAGTGAGGTGAGAGCAGAGCTGAGCTGCCTGCATCAGCCAGGAGCCATGAGGCTCTGTCCCATCAGGTAGATGGGGACTAAAACCCCACCCACGTAGGGGCACAATAAGGAAGCTGCATCTTGTCCAGGGCCATGGATGGAAAAGCCAGCCATAATAAATTAGATTCCCGTGTCCACACTAACTTCATACTAACCACGTGGTGCAGTTGAGAAAAGTTGAGAAATTCACAGAAAAATTGGCTGAGAACCACGGCAACCCAGGAGGGCCTCAAACAGAGGCAAATGCAAACCTGCCCATAGGGGCACACCCACAAGGCAGGCCTTAAGGTGCCCCTACTAAAAGGCTAAACTTACAAACCAGAAGAGGAGCCAAACGGCATGAGAGCCATGGCAGAACTCAACTCCTGCAAACTACAGAAAAGGAATAGGCTGAAGGATACAGTAGCATAAGTATGTTTAAAATATTCAAAGAAATAAAAGAAGGAACAGAATCTGTAAGGCAAGAACAGGAAATTATTTTTAAAAAGGCAGATGTGAAAGAGAACCAAATAGACATTCTAGAAATGACAAAAGCAGTCATGGTAATAAAAAATACAATGGCTGGCTTAACAACAGAATGAACACAGTTGCAGAGAAAATTAGTGACTTAGAAGATGGATCTGGGGAAACAATCCAGAGTACAACACCGAGAGATAAAGAAATGAAAATATGAAAGAGAAGTTAAGACACGGAGGATTAAACGAGAAGTTCCAACATATGCTGGCAGAAATCCCAGAAGGAGGGAATAAGAAATGGATACGTGGCAACAGGTAAAGAAATAATGGCTGAGAATTTTCCAAAATTGAAGGCATGCTGAGCCCATGGTTTGAAGGAAAACACCACTTGCTAAGTAGGAAATAAAAAAGAATATAAACCTAGACAATATTCATGTGAAATGGAACAGCAAAGACAAAGAGAAAATCTTAAAAAGCACCAGAGAGAAAAGAATGACATTCAGACTGAAAGCAGATTTCTATCAGCAAGTACGATGTCAGAAGATAATATTTTCAAAATGCTGAGGGAAAATAGCTGTCAAAATGAGGCTAGTATAATTCTCATTGCACAAACTAGAGAACAGTATATGAAAAAATTCATAAAATGATCATTTATGAACAGGTATGCAAAGGTTCTAAATGAGAGAAATATAAATCAAATCCAGTAATATGTTTTCAAAAAAGAAGAGACAGTACATTATGAACAAACTGGGTTTATCCTGAGAACTCAAGGATAAGCTACCCCTGGACAATACAGTAACACAACTCACAAACAGATTAATGGAGAAAACAATAGTCATCTCAACAGACACAGAAGCAGCATTCAACTCTTCTATTTCTGGCATATGGCTGGCTAGCTGTGCAGAGGAGCTCCTCTCAATATGGAGTATCTAAAAATGATGGGTAAAGTATAAAAACACAAAAATTTTTAAGCATGGATGACCTCTAAGAAAGCCTAAGTCAACCATGGTAAACTGTAGGGCATCTCCCATTCCCCTACTCCTGGGCTACAATGGACTGTGCACACCTGGGGTAGACAGATGTGAGAAGCCTGGTGCTTAAGCAGGGTGGAAGGTTGGGCCGGAGACCCCTCACCACCACCACACACATAAACCTGGGACCAAAGAGCAATGTTCCCAGTGCACTAAACATAAAACAAAGGTGAAAACCTGCCCTGTGAAAGGCAACTGCCCATTCTGGCCTTTGGTCTTAGCTGAGTGGGGAGAACAGTCTCCCCTGGGAGTTGACACACCCCAGGCTGGTGCTCCAAACTCATTAAAAATAATAACAGTTTAAGGAGGAAAAAATCTAAATGAGTCATTCTCAAGGGAGGCGTGGGAAAAAAATAAATACAGAAAAGGCAGGGTTAAGGTCTCACAGCACAATTTAAGATGGTGGCTAAGAATCCAAACACCCTGGTGGCCATGGTCAATGTCAATGATCTAGACCAGCACCGTACAACAGAGATCAAGGTGGGCCACATATCTAATTTTAGGTTTGATAGTAGCTACCTTAGAAAAGTAAAAAGAAACAGGTGAAATAATTTTAGCAATATTTTTTTAACCCAATATATCCAGAGTATTCATTTAGACATATTTCATCCCTTTAAGTGCTCGATAGTCACATGTGGCTGGTGCCTACTGTTCTGGACATTTCACATGTAAAGATGAGCAGACTAAAAACAAACAAGAAACTCAGCTATGTGCTGTTTATAGGAGACACACCTAAAACAGAAGGATGCAAAAGCAGTGTGAGACAATAAAAGATATGCTAAGTCAAATAAACAATTAAAAACAAAAAGATGTGGTTATACCATATCAGATGAAATAGACTTAAAAAGAAAAAAATCCATAGAAATAAAAAAGAATCACTGCACAATGGTAAACTGACCAGAAAGATAAAATAATTCTATGATTTAAATCTAATAACATAGCTTCAAAATAATAGAGCAAAACTGACAAAACTCCAGGAGAAGTGAACAAATCCACCTCCTCTGTGGGGGACTGACATACCATTTTCCATAACTGGTAAACCAAGCCAACCAAAGATTATAGGATCTGAACAACACTATTAACAAACTGACCAAATGGACATAAGCATAACTTAAAGACAAGGAAAGCTTCTCAAGCCATACAAAACATTAAGAAAAAATGAATACTTTCTAGGCCATAAAAAAAACTTCAATAAATTTTAAAAGATTAGTATTTTACACATCTATTTTCTAACTATAACACCATTAAGTTAGAAATCAATAACAGATATCCTCAAACTCCCCATATATACTAAAATTAAAAAAAAAAAAAAATATATATATATATATATATATGCTTTCTAAATAATCCAAGGCTCTAAGGACAAATCACAATGAAAATGGAAGCTATTTGGAACCCAATGCTAATGAAAAAATTATCAAAATGTGTGTCTGCATCTACATGGTACTTAGAGGAAAGTTTGTAGCCTCATATATTTATATTAAAAAAGAGGAAACAGGTTGAAAATGAATAGGTCAAGCAGTCAATGCAAGATGTTAGAAAGTAACAACAATAAAAGCAATAAAATAAAAATAAAAAGAAAGGAAATACTATGAGAGTGTAAATTAATGAAAGAAAAAACAAAGAACACAGAGAAGCAAAAGTTGGTTCTTTGGAAAGGATACTAACCAATACATCTCTAGCAAGATTATCAAGAGAAAAGGAGAAAAGCACCAATAACCAACATGAAGAATGAAAAAGGGACATAATTATAGATGTAGCTGAGATGAAAAACTAGAATATTATGAACGTTATTCCAAGAAACTTGACAACTATGGGGAAATGAACAAATTCCTCAGAAAAACTAGAACTTGCCAAAACTGAATAAAGAAGGTCCTACAACTACTAAAGAACTTAAATCAGTAGACAAAAATCTCCCCCACAAAGAAAAACATTCAAAGAATAGATAATCCCAATATTACACAAACTCCCTGAGCAAATAAAAACAGAGGGAATACGTCATAACATATCTTTAATATCAAAACCAGCCAAAGACAGTCTGAGAAAGGAAACGTAAAGGCCAGTCTCACTCATGAACAAAGGTTCAAAAATCCTAAACAAAATAATTAGCATATTAAGTCCAGCGATGTATATAAAGGATCATGACCAAGTTAGGTTTTTTCCCCAAAATTGCAAGGTTGGTTCAACATGAGAAAATGACATAATTTACCATACTAGCAGGTTATAGAAGAAAAATCATATAATCATCTCAACAGATACCAAAATAGCATTCCATAAAAATTCAACAGCG